ATTGCTGAACAGCAGTTTTCGAATAAAAATAGGATCCGACGACTGTTGTCAGAACTCTCTTTCTAGGCGCAGACTTCGAAGGGGAAGCGAGAGGGCGATCGCCTCCCAATAAAAATGTTGAAGGGGTGAGAATATCATTTCACCTCCCTCCCCCCTCAATATTTTAAGGTAAACAAAATTAAAATCAATAATAAATAAGCTACCTGAATGAATAAAATGTGTAAACTAAAATCGATTGAGAAAAGTCGACTAGCTGGCTGGGCTAGGTCTTAGTAGTAGATATGTAACTATTTTATTGATACCTAAATGTAACTTTTATTTAAATTGTCATTTATATTCAAAGATAATAATATATATTAATCTAACCTAGGATTTTATAATTCAATCAATTTTCAAGTGATATCCTTACCACATTTTAGGGGACAAACTAGTCCCACTGTGAAAATCTTTAGGTTGTAAACACGAAGAAAACAAAGATATTTTCACTTTTTTTAAACTATTCATTTTTAGCTGAAAAAGTTCTAGAAATGTACCAATGTTATGAAGGCTGTCTCCTCTCCCTCGTGTTTTTAACCTAAACAAGTACGTTATATATTGTTATACATACTATACACGGTTTTATACACTAAATATTATATATACTAAAAAGCTATACATGGTTTTACCGGGCCAGGGAATGAGTGCGGGAGATTAATGTCCGAGTTAAAAGCCCTCGGCACCAGGACGCGAACTCGTACTTATTTTATCGTTTATAACATCGGTTATCAGGTTGCCGTGCAACGCCCGGTTCTGTGCACACGCGTTAGCCCGCTCGGCCATCCCGCCCCCAGAAATATTCAATATTATATTAGTTTGATCCCATTGTGTTGAACTTTTTACTCATAAAAAAAAACTCACGCTATTTTATTTTTGGTCCATCGCCCACCCCAATCAAAATCAAAAGTCTACGCCTCAACAATCTACTTACCGATCTCTGATTCTTATCTTTCTCTGGTGGCATCCTCAGGCGTTAGGTTCGCAGCGCTGAAGGAGGAAAGGCACACTGATACAGGACAATCTGAGCTCGTCAATGGGTTGCATCATCACATATGAGTGCTAATGTGCCCACTCTAAAACCATTTCCGTTTATGTCCATTCATCGCTCGAAGAATTCAATATTTATATTGTGCAAGGGCCTTCTTATAACTAAGGTCTGTGGTGGACTATAACCTCCCTGAGAGTTCATTAAGCATAGTCGCAGGCGCCGGTATATTTTTGATTTTATAGATTTATATTTAACTACCAGCGCTCCTCGGTTCCACTCACATTAAATTTTGAATTTGGATTGTATATGTCTATTTTATAAACATATACATGATCGAATACAAATCAGTGGCGTAAATAATGCCAATGTAACCAATGTGGTGCATTAGGATGCATGCATGAGCTGCGGAACAGGTGCCTATTTCTTTTCATTTGTTTGAAATGTCTGGAAAAAAAAAATCATCAAAATCAGACATCTTGGTACAGAGATATGTTTTGAGATGTCAAACTTTTGTATAGGCTCTAATGCAGTGCCTTCAAACATTTTGGCCTGCAGGCCACATTGAGACCTCCACTAAGTCCCGGGGGCCATCACATGTTATAAAAAATATCGATTTATTGGTGTTTCAAAACCATTGAAACTCAAACATCGATATCGCCGATAAATCGGCATGAAAACATCGACGTTTTTAATTAAAACATCGACGTTTTTAATTATTTTCTGTGATACTAATTTTGGTATTTCTGTGACTGAAATTAAAAATCGAAACATCAACATATTTTTGTATGTAATTGGCAATCTTATTTATTTATTTTTTAAATATAACACATGTCATATCTTGACCTTTATTTAAAATTGTTAAAAAAAAAGGACATTCATTTTAGAAGTTTTGAATCTAAATTATGAAAGTGCATGTTTAAGTAAAATGAACCTCCTTTACCTTAGGCCAGAGAGTTTGAATTATAAACGAAATTATCTAATGTAGAAAAAACTATAGAAATTTTATTTTACTTTTTAACTTGTACATATGTAAGGAAACGTGTAGAAATAAAAAATACTTTATTTTATTTTCCTCCCTACCCTGCCTTTAAGGCAATACAGGAGATTGCAGCAGTGACTGGATAAACATTCCTTTTTTTTTTTTTGTTCTTCCCTACCTCGTCTTTTAGGGTATATGGGATTTTCCCGGGCCGGAGGGTGAGGGCGGGGAATTTAAAATCCCCTCTGGCACCAGGACGCGAACTCGTACGTTTTTTTTTTAATCACCTTAATTCTGTAATCCGGTTGCCAGGCATTACAAAGCACTGCTGCAAGTTTATCTTTTTACATTATAGTAAATCGCTGATATTAAAATTAAAAATTCCAATAGAAGCTACCTCTGGAGTACCTATGGCAACAAAAAAAAAAAAAAAAAATCGTTTTTGTCATACATTTTTTTGTTTTTTCAACTATTACTCCTGATCAGTTTGTCAAAGTGAAAAAGTCACTCTTTTAGAAATTAAAGAATGCCAGTTGTTTTAAATTTAAGCTGACCACCAACTAAGCTGATACACCGCACATCTTTAAAAATAATTAGTTGGAAATAATAAACCATTGCGCAATAATTTGAAGCATTTCAAATTTTGGAAATGTAGTTTGAATGGGCAGAATTTCCTCAAGCTAAGTTATTCTAGCGAGTTATTAATTATTATAATTATATTTAAATGATGCAACTATATGCTAGTTCGCTTTCAGGTTTCCTGACCTATGTTTGCACAACCATTTCACTAATATTATGGGTCTCAAAGAAATTATAATTTATTTTTATTTTTAAATTGTGAAATTTGATATTAAGCTAGATTGTGAATAGTTTATTAAGTTGAGTATTATTTCAATAACAATTACAATTTAATTAGTTATTTTTTTTTAAATTTACATAATTGATTTAATATAATTATTCAGTATTAATAATTCATAATAATGCAATTCATTATAATTATTTTGTGTCATTACAGTAATTATCTAGTTAGGATTATTTAGTTGACCATCACATTGCTGAAAATTGAAAATATAAAAATGGAAAAATTGACCTGCAGAAAAAAAAAAACAACTATACATTATCATTCTAATGTTTTATAGTTATTTTATATGATTTTATTAATTATTTATGTGACATAATTTACTTAGTTTTACCATTATGTCTACCAATATAATATGAAAAAAAGATCCTCAACCATAGTTCAACCAGGTTGTTTAAAGATGTGTTTAGACATTTCACTAGCTGTGGAAAAAACTAATATATAAATGGTTATTTAACTATGCTAGTATTTTTGTTTCTTGTTTTTGGTGTTTTCCATCTACTATCAGTATTAAGAGAAATAAAATATATAGTTTAGTTTATCAATGATGTCACTGTTAGTTTAGTGAGGTAATTGGGTTTCCCATAGCTTGCGAAATGTCAAAATGTACCTTCAGAATTGATAAAATCATTGTTGAAAAATAAAAGAATATTCAGTAGCATAGTTAGTTTTCCATTATTTTATTAATTTAAATTTGTAACATTAATGAGCTTCAAATCATGGTGCCCTTTATGTTATGACCCAAAAGAGTAATTGCTAAAACTTCTTTTATAAAATAAAGTAAAGTAAATAAAATAAAGTTTTTGATAGCACTGTTACAAACTAATAAAGTATACATTCATCTTCTAAGAAAGAGATAGCAGTTATTGTTTTGGACAATAAAAAGCAAATAGAATTAGGAATAAATTATAGGTTTCATACACTAGTTGAACCAACAAGCATTTTAAGAATTCCCGTTGTTATATCCAACAAAGTTGTTGAAAGTACATTGTGTCTGATCTGTTGCAATTGCTGGTTCTTTCCTCTTATCTGAACCAAAAAAATTAAGGTTAAGCAATTTTATTGATATTTATTTACCTATAAAATATAATGCTCACCTTTATTTGGTTTATTAATTAGTCCGGGGATTTATCAAGTTATCCAATTGATAATCAGAAAAGAACTTTTGATCATTTGATGCAACTTATTTTTTGAAATTCCTTTATTTTTAATATCTTTAAACCTTTACTACTTAGACACATCAGGTTTAGAATACAATTATTTGAAGATTAAGTAATTTTAATTGAGTCTCTTTTAGATAATGTTTTTATATTGATCATTTATGGTTCCTTACATGTAGTTTATAATTTGTTCGTTAGTAATAAATTATATATTACCTATTAAAGTTCGATTAAATATTTTAAGAAATAAATGATCAAAACCTTTACATTATATTTAAATTATCATTTCGAATATTAATGCAAATAAGTTTCTATGTGTTAATGTTATATTTTAGTAATGGATTAAAATATTCAAATTTTAATTTTATTGTTGGGAATATCTGTTTATGTATAGCTTAATTAACTAATGACCAAATACGTTAAATAACAATTTTCTAAACTTATTTTTAATTGATTTACTTTAAGGTTTGAATTATGATTCATGCTGTATTTTTTGTACATTAAATATGTCAATTCTGTTATAAAAATAGAGTTTGCAGAAGAAGTAAACAATTTTCAGTTATATCCAAATTATTTAGGTAAACTTAAAGACAAATTATTTTCCTTTTATCTTACCTTAATAATTGAAAAAAAAGTTTCTACCAAAAAACGTATCTATTTTTAGTCAACAAATAAAAAGTTTAGAAAAATAATTGATAATTTCAGTTAATAATTTGCATTGTGTACATTCATAACATTTAAATAATTTCAGCTTGAATAATTAATTATAATAAGGTAAAAAATAATTTTAAAGAACTAAAAAAAAAAATAATAATAAAATCAACAGAATAAATTTTTTTATTTGGTTCACTACTCATGAAAAATGTTGAAAAATTAATTTTTAGGTTTTGTTTAATTGTTTTCATAGAAGTGATTTTCTTCATTTAGAGTTATTTCACCTCTTTTCAACAGCTAAAAGCTATATCCAATGTCCAAATCATACCTACAATGGCCTTGGGAAAAGGAAAAAATTACAGAAATCTGGCAGTGGCCAATTGTATTCTGGTTAAATATCTTTGGATGGTGGGCTGAGGAGGCACCAAGTGCTTTCTGGAGGAAGTGGCTATCAAGGCTTCGTGTAATATGTTTTCTCAATGCTTCGGCCTGCTTTTGGAGTATGATTATTGCTATCATTGTCAAGTTTTCTCAAGGAGATATAATGGTAAATCTATTCTCAGTCTTTGGAGCTGGTCCGGGAGTAGTTGGCACGTTCAAAATTGTTCAGTGTATCCGTTACAGAAAACCATTAAAGAAAGCCATGGACCTTCTGGATGGTAAATTACTTACACAATTTAAACAAATTGAAAATATTATTGTATTATTTTAATTATATTTTATAGTACCAGCATTATTGAAATAGAAAATTGATCATAATTTTATTTCTTAATACTTTTGTTCTGAAATAAAATAAAATATGAAGAATGTATTTAATTATTAATTATTTAATAATTTTAGACTGCTAAAAATTCAAACTGGTACTTAAAATAGTGTTTTCTACTTGATTTGAACACCATGAGCCTGACTATTTTATTCCAATATATAGTTCAGGAAAAAATAAAATTATCATAATGAATAGATAAAGGATACATTACAGATTATAAAAACTGTATAAATGTAGCATATACAAACTATTATTATTGTGATTATCTTAAAAAATAAGTCACAAAAAGAACTTTAGTTTTAAAAAAGTACTCTAAGCAATAATTTTAAAGAAACAAAAAAAATGACACTCTCAGAATCAAGCAATAAATAAAAGCAATTGTAGCAAAGCGTATGTGTTTGAAATTTCTTTTTTTTGTGTGTGTGTGGTCCTAAATGCATTGAACACGTAGAACCACACTACAATTTCACTTCTTTTTTGTTTGAAGTTTCAAAATCCTCCAGTACTCCGTCAACTGGATGCAGTGTCTTTTTTTTTTTTTTTTTTTTTTGTTCTTCCCTACCTCGCCTTTTAGGCTATATGGGATTTTCCCGGGCCGGGGGGTGAGGGCGGGGAAATTTAAAATCCCCTCCGTCACCGGGACGCGAACTCGTACTTTTTATATCATCTCAAATCTCTGTTATCCGGTTGCCAGGCAACTAGCGGTGCTGTTACACACGCTTTAGCCTATTCGGCCACCCCGCCCCCAAAATTGGTAGGGTTGACCGTGATACACACCGGCCTATGCCTGGGTTTGTATATTCCATCCTTGTCAAGGGGAGTGCTAAACTTCTCTCCTTTTTTACTACACTGGATGCAGTGTCAATGCATCTGTTCTTTGCCTCAGTACTCGCAGTTCTCTCAAACTGAAACCCTTCCAAACCTCAAATCATGGTCCAAAAAGTTTCCCATTCAACATCTGAAACTTCCGGATGTTGGACATCTCCTGATCTTTAGAACTTTCTTAATCTGTGCAACAGAACAGGTTGCACAGTTTCTTCCTGTTGCACAGGAAGTTGAATATCATTTTAGACAATCTAGTTTTGACTATTCTATAGAATGGCCCGAGAAATAACAATCTTCTCTTTCACATTGTCTCTGACATTTTTGTAAATTTCATTGTTTCCAGCCGGTTCCAACCTGGTTTTATTTCCATGACTTTTCATAATATTCTTATATCCAATATCTCCAGCCTTTGTCTGCCTTGGTCCAGGAATCGAACCTAGGACCTTGAGCATTGGAAGATCATTACCCTACCACTGAGCTACAGCACTCCCTAAGTCTTCTGAAAGTATAGAAAAATGATCAACAAAAGCCAAGCAACTGACTTTGAGTCATCCTGATTTCCTTCTAAGGTGAATCGTGATTATTCCTTTACTTTCATGAATGTAATATCTTTATTAATCTGGATAAAACTACTTTTATAAACTTTAAAATAATTTAGATCCTTAAGATGCTGTTCTATATAAATATTCTTATTTCAGTCATGATGAGTGAAGTAGATGAACTGGTAATGGAACCAATCGTTCGCAAAGGGATGGAAAGGTGTTGGATAGCTTTTGTTCTCTGCCTCTTTTTTGGTTCTTGCATCAGCATACATTGGCTGAGTCGTCCTTTACTTATACTATTGTTCTATGGAGAAAGAACACGTATTATTGACACCTGGCCTGTTTTTAATGATAATTGGTTCCAGTGGTCCTTAACTTTTGTGTTTCAGGCATCCAATGTCTGCTTTTGTGGTCACACATTCTACATTTTTGATAATGTTTATTTTTGTATATCTGAGTCCCTGTTATGTCAGCTGAAAGTTCTCAAATACCGTCTCACTCACCTGAAGCTAGACGGTAGTGTTGGCTCAAATGCAGCATTAGAGATATGTATCAAACAACACACTCAAGTTCTAAAGTAAGTAGCGCAATCATGCTGAAATTGTATATTCTATTTTTAAAGATTAAATTATAAATTTCCTTACATCTTTGTGATTTGCTGATATTACTAGCATTCAATGGTAAAAAAATTTCTTAACTATTGTTTATCATTTTTAATATTTGTGGTTGTATTGGTTATATACATATCACAAATTTTGTTTAATATACACTTCTTTAGGATTATAACTACAGGCGCATCTTTAATTGTTCCTGCTTTCATTATCTTGGTTTGATCAGAATTTTATTTTATATTTATTTAAAAAAAAAATGTATTCAACTAATACATTCAAATAGGTAATCAATAAACTTCTGATTTCTCATGAAACCTTTAAGTTATACTTTAGAAGATATTAAGTAATTACTAAATAATATACTTAAGAACAAGCAATTTATTATACGATCTTAACAAGTATATTCATTTATAGGGTATGTGATTTGCTCAAGTTTTCATCAGAGGGAGTAATCATGTTCCAGTGCATAAACACTGTCATTATGCTATGCACTGGTATTTTTATCTTAACATTGGTAACTATCTTCTTAATGATATAAAACATTCATAGTTGTAATTACTAATAACCATTTTGATTTTTTTAGGTGGAGCACATTAACTTCAATGTTTTACTAAATTTAGGAGAGATTACTTTAGTTATTATTATAATTTTATTTTTCTATTGTTGGTACAGCAATGAAATAGCTTTTCAGGTAATGTTGATGACGTATTTACTAAATTATGTAATTTTGTAGAAAAATGCACTTCTGCTCATCACGTAATTTGACCAATTGCTAATTTTTAATTTATATCATGATTAAAAAATAATTTTTCAATCACTGCCATAATACCATATCTGAAATTAATCATGTAATAGTAACAAATTAATTGTTTATAGGTCTTGATGTATTACTGACCTCAAAGATTAATGCTTGCATCTCGAAATATATTGCTAATCACCAACCTAATGTATCTTAAATTTTATTTTATTTTAGCATTTGCAAACGGCTCTTTATGTTGGTAAATTCATAGTTTTGTTTTATTTTTATTGATAGTGCTCTGAATTGGCTACTTATGCATACATGATGGACTGGACAGAAGGTACATCAGATCAAAAGAAGAAGCTCCTCAATATGATGACGATGCCAATGCAACCAGTCATATTTGGTGGAATAGTGGAAATGAATTTGAACACCTTCATAAATGTAATTATTTGGAGTGTGTAAATATTTTGTTTATAATGATCATTTCTTTAATTCAGGGGTCAGTCAGCATAAAACAAAACATCAATTTGTGTTTTATTTATAATTACTAAACCATCGAATTCCTCTTGTATCCAATCCTTACAATCCAAAATCCTTCGTAAAATCCTCAACACTCCTTACTTTGTCACAAACAAAATCATCCATGAAGACCTTAATGTTCCATATGTTTCCGATTTGGCCCAATCCAGATACCTATCCTTCCATAACAAACTGCAGAACCATCCGAACCCTTTCGTTTCAAACCTTGCTTCCTCCTCGATCCCTGATAACCCTCCGAGGCGTCTGAAAAGAAGATGGCCTTGGGATCTTCTAATATAGAACTTTAATTTGAGTTCTACCAATGGGTAGTTTCTCTTCATGTTTTACATGTCATGTTACCAATGTCATATTTACCTGTTGTATTTTTAATGTAATACAGTTGTAAATTTTATTAAAATAAAAAATAAAAAAATTTATAATTACATGCGATATTTCAGTCCAAACATATGGGCCATGTTCAGGGCTGCATCTTATAAAACCAAAAAGACCAAATTAATTTTACAAAGATACAGGAAGGAAGATGGAAATGATTAAAATATTAATACTGACAGCTATTGAAAAAAAAATTGGGGAATTTAATTATGTAAATAATTTGAAGATATACAATGAAATAATGTTATATTTGGTTGATTAGGAAGTATATAGAGATAAAGTTAAATCAAATAAAAGTAATAGTCTGTGTGAAGACTTGTTTATCTAGAGTTATATATTATAACTAAATTGATAGACTTAAATTAATATCTCATATCTCAAAAGCCGTTATTTTACATTTTAGTTGTTTTTGCAGTGTTAAACCTTGCTTAGGGATTGAATAGAGTCTTATCACATCTTGGAAATGCCTATACAGTTTTAAAGTAGTAAAAATCATAAAGTTGAAAATTTTTAAGTAATGAGATATTAATTTAAATTCATAAATATTAATTGTTATAAATTATTATAATCATTTTATTAATCTAACATATTAAATAGCATTAAAAACTGGTCATGAAAATATTTTGTTTGTAATATATGTTTAAGGAAACAATGTGAACAAAGTAGGCATTATAAAAGTTAAAAAATATGTTGAATTTGAAAAAATTCAGTTGATTTTGGACAAGGGGTGAACCTACAGTAATTTTCAATCTTATCCAAACTATTTAATCATAGTGGATTGAGGGTTGACTACAGTGAATAACAGAAGAGAACTTGGTTGGGGTGTTCAGTCACAATACTAAGTAAAAATAAATAAATTATATTTATTTTTACTTTGAATTATGACTGAACATCCCAACCAACTGCTCTTCTATTATTTGATTTATCAATTAAATCATATTTGAAAGATGAAATCACAAGTATTAATTAACTACTGATTTCATAAAGTAAAAATAAACAAATTATAAAAGTTTTAGTTTCAATTGTTCATTTTTAAAATTCTAAATAAAAAAACAGAAAGGATGAAGTCTTGAAACTTCTTATAATGCCCTAATTTCATTTTTGTCTTTGTCAGTTATCTTAAGATTATTAAGAAATTAATAATGGGATGTTAGTTTTAGCCTGAAAAACGTTTTGACTTATCGTTACATTTAATGTATGGCCGGAACTAGGATTTTTCCGAAGAGGGACAAGCTTGATTTTGCCACTCCTTTGTTCAACTGCTATTGCCCTCTCCCCTTCATAAAAGTTAATATATTATATCATTATTTTAGCTAATGCATTTTAAAATAGATATCATTGTCAGACAATATTAACTCATTTCATGGATTAAATACAGGTCAAAACAACTAAAAAGTAGAAAGAAATATTTTTGCTTAAGCTAAAATAAAGTCATGAATTTTACTGCTCTCTAAATTTAGCCAATCGATGCAAATGCCTCCTTTTCTCCTCCCTTGTCCTAATCCTGATTTATGATTTACTTTATTCTGGATTTTTCATGAATTTGTTGAATATAAATTTCTCACAATTTGATATCCCCCAATAAACAAACATATAATTTGTTTCTATCATATAATTACTAATTTTATGTCCTTAAGAAAATTCCTACATAATAATTCTGTTTTTAGGTTTTGAAGACAGCATTTTCATACTACAACTTTCTGGTTGCTGCTAATGCAGGAGGTGATCATGGAAAATAAACACATTTATACTAAATTATTAGTTCTCGCTTTAGTACAATCTTTTTGTTGAATTCTCATTGTAGCATTATAATAAATCTATCAATTTTAAATGATATTCAAGATATGTGATTCTTTGTAAAAATATATGTTTACCCTTGTCCATTAGCAATTATTTGATTTTATTAACATGTTACCAACACATTCAGTAATGACTAAGTTTTATGGCGAGTATCTTTAGTTTAAAAAATGAAATTTCAAACCATTTTGGGGTTATTCATAAAAATACTGAAAAAACTTCTAATTATGTGGAAGAATATTTCGAAAAAAAAAAAAAAAAAATGAGAACATCATATAAAAGGGTGGAGTGGCCGAATGGGCTAAAGCGTGTGCACTGCACCGCCGTTGCCTGGCAACCTGACATATGAATCAAAGATATAAAAATAGTCACGAGTTCGCGTCCTGGTGCCGGGGGAGTCTTTTAAATCCCCGCCCACACTCCCTGGCCCGGGCAAATCCCGTAAAGCCTTAACGGTGAGGAAGGGAAGGACCCAAAAAAAAAAAACAAAAAAAAAACATCAAATTATTAAATTTTGTAAATTCCGATAGATTTTTTAAAAATTTTATCTGGACAGCCATAATAATGGTCTCAGTTCAGTTTGGACAATTTTGATAAACTTTTGTGTTTAACAATATATGTTTGATGTAGTAACAAAATATGTACAAAAAGTGTTTTTAAATTATGTTTCAGCAATCAAATTGTGTAACAGTTAATTACTTGTTTATCATCAAAATTTTTCTTGGGTTCCAAAGCTCAAGGAGTTAAGTGATGTGCAATCTTTCTGGTGATTTCTAGAGCAATGGATTCAGTAGATTCTCACAGCAGTGATTCTCAGTTCGAATATATTGAGTTAGACGATCTATTAATCACAGAAATTATTTTATTAGTTAATAGGTTTATTTATCAGTTTTACAGGAATTAATACAGTATTTAAAACTTTGCATAATTTGAAAAACTGTAAATTGGAAGTGAATGACGAAGTGAGCAATGCGTACAACCTTTCATTTTGCAAAAAACATTTTTATTTTTTATAAATATTGTGCTTACTTGAAACGTAATTAGTTAAACTGGTGTACAAATTACATTTTATATTTTAAAAAAAGCTTAACTTGTTGATAATTTATTATATATTAATTTTCGATTTATTGATTGCACAGCATTCACTTGAAAAGTAATATTTATTAATTCATAAAATATGGGAAGTACAAATGTAAGCTATTTCTTTGAATCGCATAAGCTATATTATTTGATTATATTATGAGCTGGGTGTTAAACGGATTATAATTTTCCATTAATAATATTGCATTTTTTTAGTTTTATTAATTTTCAATTAAATACATATTTTACTTAGAATATTAACCATACTACATATTTTATTATGCTCTACACAATTTTTTAATTTATGTAAATTATTTATTTTAACAATTAAACAATTTATGCATAATTATTACATATGGTTTGTTTGAAATCATGTGCTATATAATAATTACATAATTATTATGGTTATACATTAATAATTGTATAATTATAGGAACAAGAAAGTATGAGGTTTAAAGAAGGATTCTTTATTTCCCAAAACAAAATTAATGAAACATAGTCATGGCACACTTGTCATATAGATCAGACCAAAATTATAAACAAAAAATACATTAATCAATGAATAATATTTTAGCATTTATTTTTACTAAAACCTATGCATTGGAGTTTCTGAAATCTTTTAATTTAAATGTTTGGTTGGCACAGATAAAATATCAAACTTCTGAAATATTTCACCGATTACACCACTTATTCTCTGAAACATTGAGAATTCATGAATTGTTAAGAAGTCCTTCAAGTTTAAGTGCCCTACATGTCCAACTAAAGTCATTAATTCTTGATGTCACCGTTTTCCAAGATAATGGTCTGCAATTTTGTAAATTGCTCTTAGCTAAATAAAAAACAAAGAAATAAGGTGTAATCAATACAGATAAATTTACTTCATTTTTTAAATGGTTTCTATTATTTGTATTGTAAACAATACAAAAAATTATTACGGTAAAAATAATAAAAACTTACTTTATAATTAATAAAATATTTATGTTAATTATTGCAGTTTAAGAATAAATATATAAAATAAAATTGCCTGATAATTTATTTCATAAATTTTACAAAACAGAATCATGGAAGTGAACTAGTGAAAAAAAAAGCATAGGTGATTATTAAAAAAAATTATTTATTTTGTTTTTCAATATCACACATTTTGTTTCATAAATTAAGTATATATTTCCTCAGAATGAGACTGAATATTTTTTTTAATAAAAAACGTGAATATAATAGTAAAATAAATTTATTTATAGAAATGATATTATACAATTTCTGGATTATGATGGGTTTACTATCTGTATAAACATTCTTTTAATTTTTTGAATTATTAACACAAGACAGAGAAAAGATGGCTGTGTAAGATAAATAGAAAAGGAAGAATAATATTTAATAGTATAAAGAGTAATATTTTTTTTTAAATTCTTATGTATTACACACAAGTATCTATTTCTACATGTGATATAATCCTTGGTATGAGTGATTGTGTTGTTGTTGCAGTAAGACTAAAAAAATAAAAATCTGTTACTTTTACAATTTGTGTGTAACAAGTAACTTTGATTTTGTTCATACATTTAAACATTGTTTGCTATTATACATTATTTTTAAAAAATTTATGTTAAAATTAATTTCACTGAGTGAAATTTATAGTTTAGCTTTATAAATTATTTGAACTATTGATGCTAATTTTCTGTGGTTAATTTTTTGTTTTAAGGTAAATTACTTTTTTTAACTTTTAACATAGAATCATCAAGTTTAATCTCTGATTTAAGCAGTGGTGAAGTTATTTTTAACTTCGCCATTTAATAATGAATATGGCAATGCAGAGGAGTAATGATTCTCTGAAAACTGATAAAAAGGAAGTTCCAAACAGATGTTCATATTCTACAAGCATTGAAAGCTGAAGTTTATTGTAATATTTTGAAACACAAATGTTGTAATATTATATTACAGAGTAATATTTAGTACTATGAACCAAGTATACTAAAATCCTGGTTTCGTGATGAATTACAAAATCCAAAAACTAATAAAAAAAAAAAGTGAAAATTAATATTTCATATAAAACTTTACGAGTTATAGTACAAATCCATATTAGTTAATATAAATATTGAGGGATTCAACATTTTTTTCTAAGCCTAGCAGAAAGATAGCGATTTGTTAGTGGTTATAAGCTGAACTAACAATATTTTTGTGAAATAACAATATTGATAAAGTATGAAATGAAAACCAAATGCATAAGATGTGGATAATCAGGTGTTATAGATAGAGATATAGCGAAGTTGTTCTTATAGCCTAGATTATAAGTTTTATATGATTTTTTTCATTTTGTTTGTTGGAAGAATTTAAATAATAAATAGACACAATATATGTTAGATTTGATTTGGAATTACAAAGAATACATTCCCAATTTTTAATAACACCTCCAACACACGACATTAAATTGGCAGTTTATATCATTCACTGATTCTATTTAACTTAAGGCAACTTTAGAAAATGTTGAAAACTTTTTTGTAAATACGAGGAGAAATTGATTTGGGCAACTTTGACTGAGCTTAAACTGTTTGTTTAGCTGATTCGAGGACAAACCAATTTCTTTCCTGATTGGGATTCTCTTCTGAGCTTTATTCTTCAGAATTCTTTTAGTTCAAAACCTGTGCAGAATAAACATTAACCTCCGTTTATAGAAAGGAAACATTTGTAATACATAATTTGGAAATATATTAGAATTAAAGAAAATATTAGGTATTTCATAACTAAATGAAACATTTAAAATGAATATTCTGTTACATCAATATTTTAATATCTTCTTTTTATAAGGAACAGGAGATGGGCTTGCCTTTTAACAGAAAGGAAATATCAGAGATCTGGAAGTGGCCTCACATTTTCTGGTTAAACATTTTTGGTTGGTGGGCTGAGCAAGCAAAGACCGAGTTCCTTAGGAGATGGCTCTCTAAGTACAGATTTGTCCTCTGTGTGTACTTCACCACCGTTACTTCCATGATGTTGATCGCCGTTGGAGTAAAATGTGTTGAAGGTGGTATCTTGGACAATATGTTTACTGTATTCGGGTGCTGTCCTGGAATAGTTGGAATCTTTAAGGTTTATTGCCTCATCCTTTTCTCTAAGCCATTGAAAACTGCAATGGAAGGCATTGATGGTAAAATAGAAGTTATTTTGTGTACTCTTGAATTATTTGTATGTAGTTATTTGACCTGTCTTAGAATCCATTAGCTGAAGACATATTAAACATATTAGACATATTAAAGCTGAAATTAAATTTTTTAAAATAGGAAAAATTTACTGGAGTTTCAAAATTATTTTCATTTTTCATAGCTTAAAAATTATTTTATAAAATTTGTTTAAAAAATAAACCATATAGATACAATAATTTAGGAAAAAATTGTGAATTCATATAAATCATTAATTATAAATAGTTAAAAAATAATATATTTCTTTATTACATTTTTAAACCTGACTAATCAAAAGCCAGAAGTTTGTGAAAAGCCCATCTACTGTAAGTAAAAATAAAAATGTGAGTTGGTTGGAAAATTTGTTTTAATCATTAGTTATCTGTTTTTAAAAAATAGAGTTATTCTTATAATGTAAATTTATTTTAAGAAAAAAATAATATAAGATATCATTACTTTATATAATTGTTTTAATAAGCTGTTCCTCAAATAAAATAATAAAAACATTAAAAAAATGGTAAAATAACTGAACACATCTCTTACCTCAGTTATTTAAAAGCAATTCCTCAAAATTTTCTGTTGTAGAACTGTTCCTTGACAGCAAAGATCCTAATGAAACCAGACTGATTCGAAAAACACTGAAGAGAGTGTGGATAATATTCACCTTTTACCTGACAATGGGCTCTTGCATTTCTTTGCATTGGGTTGTGAGGCCCGTTATCAGTGCTATTCTCTTCGGGGAGAAGACTCGTATCGTGGACACGTGGCCTCCTTTTATTGACACCTGG